AACTTAAGAAACTGCCGTTCGATAAAGTATTTTGAGTTAATTCCTGTCATTGACACATTTTCTCACACACACTAATATATTTGGCAATCAAAGAAATGACTAAAGACAGAGTTTCTAACTTTTGATGTGATTATTTAATTGTATCGGGGGATTTCTGAATAAAGAGCACAATGTTTTTATTTGATAGAAATGATTCTGATCATTTTTATATTAACATTGATGAACAGACGCTTTTACAGTGTTTAAAGAACATATTTACATAATTCCATAATTTAATGTACATTTAACATTTCAAGACAACAAATAATTTTCTTGTATTTATTTTTTATACGTTATTGAGAAATGACTTTTGATTTATAAATCAGTCATTGTCAAACATTAAACTACATATTTTTCTTACTTTTTTCCAAAGAAAAATATTTATTACACTATGTCAACTCTGCTATTGACAGCAAAGAGTGAAAATAATTCTAACAGAGTAAATTATTCTTATTTCATTACATAAACTGTATTAATACACTAATACTTCAGATTGAGATATTTAAAAATACACAAAAAGTGAAAGAATAAAACATTTATTTATTATACTGGGAACACTGGCCACAGGCTTCAGTCTGCTGGTCACACTGGGAGAACTCAATGACTTCTGAGACGTCCTGGTTCACAGGCTAAAGCCAAGGATAAAAGAGAAATTATCCAAAAGTATAATAGAAAATACATACGGTATATGTTTCTTTCACATTCAGAAAAAGACATTTTCAGCATGTTTTGCTCTGACTCGTAGCATCTTTATAGCTAAATACCGACAAGGTGAAGCTGAGCTGGGAAACAGACTGAAGAACAGCAGCTCCAGCTCTGATCCTGACTGATCTTTCCTCACTAAATCTTCTGGTTTTTAATTAACTTCTCCTCTAACAGCGGTTTTTCCATCAGCTCTCTCTCATTAGAAAACAGTATGAAAACGTTAGCTGCTACGCTAACAATCAGCGGTTATTTCGGGCCAATTTAGCTACATAGGAAATATTTTTCGGTTGTTTAGAAGCGAATTTCTGGCTGCAAAGTCAAGTAATTCTGATCTTTCATCCTTACCTGTGAAAGGTAATGCCAATGAATCCAGTTTGTTTCGTAAAACAGTTGAAACAAGTTCACACAGCACAGGAGCTCCGATCGCCCTGCTGCCATAGAAGATGGCGGTGACGTAACGTAGGATTCAGTGCTCCCTGCGGCGTCTAGTATTCATATCTATGGTGACAACAGCGTCGGTCCGCAGCCTTCTGGGGTCGTTTTGCTCCCGGAACGAGAATTTAGCTGACCTTAATATTTCCTGTGTTTTATTTTGGTCATTATTGTTACACTGCAGCCTGAAGTGACCCAATTCCGATTTTTTTTTGACGTAATGCGACCTGTATCCGATCTTTTCATGGCAGTGTGAACAGCACAGGTTGGATTCTTTTTCGAATGTGACCCATATCCGATACTATCCAATTCAAATGCGACCTAACGTCCAGGTCGCATTCATCCAAACTGAACGTCACTGATTCTCAACAAATCTCACTATTCTGCGACCTGATACGCGCAAGCGGGAAGAAAAACAACAACTATGATGGACTATATGAGGATTAAGTTGTTAATTTGTTGTTCCGGCCAGGCAACAACTTCAAGTAAGTTATGCTCCACCGTTAGCCTCCATGTTTACTTCCGCAAACACTGAGCACTACTTCTTTTTATGGCGGTTGGCAGAACAATGAGAACGCTGACGCTATTGCGCCCTCTAGTGCGCATGCGGGACACTTTCAGGTCGTTTGGCTGTTCACACTGCAGAACGCATGCAGGTCACATTTACTGGCAGTGTGAACGGCCCTGGCAAAAAAATCGGAATTGCCAAAAAATCGGAATTGGGTCACTTCAGGCTGCAGTGTGAACGCACCCTTAGTGTTGATATGTGCGTGATAGGCATGCCTATAGGACATTTATAGAATACGGAACAAATCGCGTCCCATATCGATTCCATATGGGACTCAGCATTTAACAGCCAAATACGGGACGATTCCGGATTTTACAGGGCAGGTGGCAACCCTACAAGCAAGTCAGTGCAATGGTAGCAGCATCCTCTTTTTTATATACTGCCAAAAATCACTAATCAATTTATAAAAACAACCACTTATATATATGTGCCTATGACAGGATTGTGTTCTTACCCGTTGTTTCACTAGCACTGCCACACCAGCAGGGGGCACACATGTTTGGGATAGAGACCGTTATTGAGCTTTAGTAGAGTAAGTAGAGTTCCTGGGGTAGGAGAGCGATCGTGCAGTTAGTGGTATATTTTGTTACCGCAATATATAAATAAACGTTCAGCTTCCGAAGGAACCTTTGACTGTCTCTTGCTTGCCGCACCACACGCTGTGGACCACAAAGGGAGTTAACCCTGAAGTCCCCAACCACTTCAGCCTAGGAGTGAGAAGGAGCTCCCCTGTGTTTCTCCCACGAAGCTTGGAGGTTCATCAGGAAAGGTTAACACCGTTTAATGCGACTTCTGTTTACGAACATCACTGGACAGCTTCTCAACATCGAGCATGTAAGATGCAACTTTAATCTTGACACGGCAGCAAATGTAGTGCCTTCTCTGGAAAGGTCTCAACATATTTTTTGGACTATAAGCTGCTACTTTTCCCCCACGCTTTGAACCACACAGCTTATAGCCCAGTATGGCTTATATATACATTTCCAGTTTTTTTTTCTTTTTTTACCATTATTTGTAGGAGCGACTTACAGTGCGCTCTATAGTCCGGAAAGTACGGTACTCTTTTTGTTATTTGACAACTTCTTGCTACAGAGCAAACATTCAGGTAATCCTTACGTATTGGCAATGAATGCAAATGATTCGGTCCAAGAATTGTTGAATCTTTCCTCAGCTCTCCATGGCCCACCACACCCGTCAGTTTGCTTACAACAGCCCCCTTCCTCGCACCCCACCCAGCTGAAAGAAACGTGTCACAGGCAATGACGCAAATCTTTGTTGAAGGAAATGTTGAAATTTTACTTTTATTCTACACATTTTTATAACATTGGAAAACGTTAAGAATGACTGTCATATCTGTCCTCCTACAGAAACCATATCAAAACAAAAATATATATTTCCCACCCCCATCTTTTTCCATTTTCAAACATTTTTGAAAAAGTTCCAGAGAACCACTAGGGCAGCGCTAAAGAGCTGCAGGTTGCTGACCTAGACAAAAATGTCTGTTATGACAATTTGACATTAACCAAGAATCATCATATGTCATAATAATGAAAGTGTTATTACACTGTCAAAAGCATTAACAAAACAGTAATTAATATTTTCCACTACCTGAAATAAAGCAGAACAAGGACCAACAATAAAGATTCCATTAAACGTTATTACACTGTCAAGTGATTTAATAACAGTCATTAATAATTCCTCTTACATCAAGTGGAACAAGTAGCACCAGTTATGAAGATGTCATTAAGTGTCATTACAGCGTCATTAATATTATCTCTTACCTCAAGTAAAGTGAAACTAGTAGCAACAATTATAAAGATGTAATTTCATGTTATTACAATGTCAAATGCTATGCTAACAGAGTCACTGATATTAAGTCTTACCTCAAGTGAAGTGAAACACACTGGACTACTTATAACTACCATCATAGCTGTAGAACAAACCATTTGTACATTGGAATAAAACAAAATATAACTTGTTCTTCAAACAAAGGGGTTAACTTCTGGTCAGTATGTTGTTACTCTGAAATACTGATTGAAAAACTAAAACAGAATTTCTTATCCTTTAACTTAAGAAAATAGGTTTTTTTCAACAGTCCTAACATTTTTTTGCGTTGATTGTGTCAGCCATCTCCTTCGTTATAGCCTTCCTGTAAGGCTCTGAAAACAGGAGATCTTCTTCTTGTCTTCATTTCCTGGCAGCAGCTCTTTAACCCTTCTATGCGGGAACGTGTCGCCGGCGACACATCTAAATTTGCAGTACCGTAATTCCGCCACACAGCGCTATCTGAAAAATTCCAACAGTTTCTGAAAGGGGAGACGTTGCACTTTCCAGCATACGGCAACTTCACAGCTGCAGCTGCAGAGAGCGTAATTAATCCGGGGGCACTCGTTTAATAGACTGCATATTGTGAAAATAACTTGCTGGATATTGAAAGTTCCGGTTCTTATGGATACATGGGTAAGTATATCATCTCACAGGACATTTAAAGAACTACTTACAATTAAAATAAGGAAGATTTATTTAGGCAGACACTTGAAACTCCGGCGTAAAAGGATTAAAGGTGTCCAGGAATGCTCAGAAATTACAGCTGTTCTTGTAATAGTTGTGGTCAATGTTAATCATGGGGAAAGCCTTTTCATGAATTCAAACTTGGTGAATCTCTTCTGGACATTCTCATAGTGGGTGATGACTCAATCCACTGTGGTCACTTCAGAAAAGGAACAAAAACGAATAAACCAAAAATGTAATGTGATCTTAATTCAGCATTTATTTAAATTCCAAAAATGTCCCTTGCTGTACACTGTCAGAATGGTAGACTGGCAGACAAATGTCTAGTTAACATGACTGGTTGTTATAAAGTGCAATACAATTATTTCTTAATTCAAGTAGTATAATCACTAGAGCTGAGCAAAATTATTCTGATCAAATATTTGTTTGGCAGGAATTAATATAGCCTATTGTTATTCAAATTGCATCATTTAATGTATAGTTTTAGGCACATGAGTGTATCTTTTCACTTAATTAGCATTATAAATGATTTCCAACAAGATACTCTGGCTTATGGCTTAAGAAGTTTTTAATAAATAAATAGATTAAACACCAGATTTGCATTTGACAACAATTAGTTGTCTAAAACGTAACTTGTTAACTTTGTGGTGATCTGTTTTCTGTGTATTTAGTTTGAAGTTTTTCTGTGCTTATTTAGTTCTGTTCCACTGTGAGTCTCTGTGCCGTCCTGTCCTGATTGTTCCCAGGTGTTTCTCGTTCCCTGATTACCCTCCTTGTGTATTTAAACCCACCTGTTGTCTTTGTCTCTTGTCGGGTCCTTGTCGTGTCTCATGTCAGAAGTCAGTTCTGTCTTTTCCCTCGTGCTGCTTTGTTGGACTGTTTCTTGGATTTATTATTAAATCATATTTTTTCATCATGTCTACTTGGGCCTACCTGTGTCCTTCCTCACCACCACAACCACAAATCATGACAAACTTATCTGGTGGATGTTGATTACTGCTTCCCTACTTGCATGTCTCCTCACACCCCTCTTCACCTGGAGAAAATAGTAACAAAATTTACTTATCTAATTTTCTTGGGGAATATTTCATCTGCTTCTTTCTCTTTGGTCAAACGGGGACTTCTTTCTCTCTTGGCCGGTCCTCATTTTCATCCTCCACACCTGTAGTATGTCTTCATTAGCCTCCTTTGTCCCCTCCACTCCCCACCATGTGTCCTTAGGCCACTGCTTCTCAATTCCAGTCCTCAGGCCCCCCTGCTCTGCATGTTTTAGATGTGCCTCTATTCCAGAACAGCTGATTCANCCGGTCTTGTGAGAAATTCTGTTCCCCTGTGAAAATCTGTTCCCCCTGTGTCGGGAGCGCGCATTGCAGCCAGAGAGATGGATCCAGCGGATCTGACCATTTTCACGGCGCTTCTGATTAATTTCTCGGTTAAAACTATAATCGTGTCAGTGTTGTAACTTTCAGTTTAATCGGCAGCTATCAAAATAAAAATACATATACAAATAAACGAGGTCTTGTGTGGAGGTCTTTTTACGCTGTTTTGTTATTTTAAACGCGAAGAAAATCGATCTTTTTTTTCAGCTTTTGTCTCGTAAGCCTGACAAAAGTCAGTCAAACACAGGTTTCCAACACGTAGTGTGCATTTATAATTTTTCATTTCTGATAAAGGAGGGGGGAAGCTGGCTGATAGCAGGGCACAAAAATAAAGACTTCCTGAAAAGATAAGAGTGTAAACTTTTTGGTCAATCCCGTTCTAATGTAAAATGACAGCTTAATGGTTTAAGGAAATGTCTAGTATAATAACACATATTTTTTGAGAATTTGGAAACAGTTGCTTTTTATTCCCCAAAGTTATGGGGGGAGGAGAGGAGAGAATGGATATTTCAGCAGCCTGATAAAATCTGTTCCCCCTCTATAAAATGGAAACAAATTAATTTATCCGCAAAGTCTTTTACTGCGTTGATTCCACTCAACAACAAATCCTGTGACTTTCATAACATTTGCTCTTTTTTTGCCAAAGTTAGGATGGGGGAACAAAATATTTTAGCTCTTTCAGCCACCTGAAATAATATGTTCCCCCTACATAAAATGGACATGTACAGTGAATTAATTTCTTTACCTAAAATTTGAATCATTAGATGAAGCTGTTTATTTCAGTTTGCAGAAAAACTCAAACATTAAACTACATATTTTTCTTACTCTTTTCCAGAGAAAAAATATTTATTAAACTATGTCAACTCTGCTATTGACAGCAAATAGTGAAAACAATTCTAACAGAGTAAATTATTTTTATTTCATGACATATGCTGTAATAATACACTAATACTTCAGATTGAGATATTTAAAAATACACAAAAAGTGAAAGAATAAAACATTTATTTATTATACTGGGAACACTGGCCACAGGGCTTCTGTCTGCTGGTCACATTGGGAGAACTCCAATGACTTCTGAGACGTCCTGGTTCACAGGCTAAAGCCAAGGATAAAAGAGAAATTATCCAAACGTGAAAATATGTTTCCTTCACATTCAGAAAAAGACATTTTCAGCATGACTCGAAGCATCTTTATAGCTAAATACCGACATGGTGAAGCTGAGCTAGGAAACAGACTGAAGAACAGCAGCTCCAGTTCTGATCCTGACTGATCTTTCCTCACAAAATCCCCTGGTTTTTAATTAACTTCTCCTCTAACAGCGGTTTCTCATCACCTCTCTCTCTCATTAGAAAACAGTATGAAAACGTTAGCTGCTACGCTAACAATCAATGTTTACTTCGGGCCAATTAAGCTACATAGGAAATATTTCTCGGTTGTTTACAAGTGAATTTCTAGCTGCAAAGTCAAGTAATTCTGATCTTTCATCCTTACCTGGGGGAGGTAATGCCAATGAATCCAGTTTGTTTCGTAAAACGGTTGAAACACACAGCACAGGACTTAAGGAGCTCCTTTCGCTCTGCTGCCACATAGAAGATGGCGGACGCTGTTACGTAGCGCTCCATGAGGGTCTACGTATATGACGTCTATGGGCTGGATGGCAACCATTATTTGGTCTCCACAGATTTCAAATATAAATAGGACAACAGAAAAATGTGAAGTGCTATTAGTTAATGGTTGCTGCCACCAACTGCCAAGAGCAGCGTAAGGTAAATGTTAAATAAATGTCAGGAAAAAATAACTTTTTGGCTAAACAAAAATAATTTGGAGAATAAATAAACCAATTTTGACAAACTTCACATCTACAATATTAACAAAACCCTGTTACATATATATATTATTTTTTTATCTCTGCCCACCTATAATGTTTGCTGGCCTGGTTTGGTCACAGCTATGAACATTTTCAAGTGGCAGTGATGAAATCAGGTTTAAAAAAATACCTTGACTTAACATGACTGCACACTGGTTTAAAAACCTTGTGTGGAGTTGTTTAATCTCCATTTCACAACAAATGATAGAGAAAGACCTTTGCATAACTGCTCTGTGAATTCAGGGATACTCCCTTCTGAAATAAAACATTGGGAAATAATTAAAAGTGTGACTCTTTGTTTTTGCGTCACTGTTTTGACTGTAAAACCCACAGCTGAAATGCTTTGGACTTTTGAGGAACAGATCAGGTCACACGATGCTGTAGTTGACGTAAAAACTATTCCAGAGATAAATGACCAATGAGGGCGTTATGAGTACACAGGAGCAGCCTTGTCTTTATTTTTCTTCCTGTTAGCCTCCAGGATGTTCTCTCAGTACCATCTTTCACGAGGACTCGCGTGTTTTGTTCTGACCCTCAAGGTGATCAGCCCAGGGTCTGTAAACCTCAGCTTGTCCTTCAGTCATTCAAGTATGTTTTAAGACTTGTTTGAGCTTTCATTTTGGAAAACATGAGGGGTTTTTTTGTTTTTGTTTTTTTAAATTAAAACCATCTATTTACTATCAAGGGGGAAAAAAACATGTTTTTTCTGTTTTTTCTTCACTGTCTGAAATCAAATCAGGCCAAATTTCTCTTGTTTTGGTCAGTTAGAATTACTTAAATTGTTTCTATTTGCTAAATATCACAATACTGAGAGAAAGAATATTTCAGATATATTTTTTACTGTCTAAGTTTACATACAGAATAATTACTGTCTCTTTAAACAATGAGGTAAAACCCATAAGATGTCATGACTTTTGAGACTTCTGATAGGTTAACTGACACATTTGTGTTAATTGGAGTCACATCTGAAACAAACTGCTTTCTTTTGTAGATATTTTATTTACCAAAAGAGCAGATAAGTTGACTGAAAAAGCTGTTCAAAAAGTAGATATTTTGATGAAGCAAAAATATAGTTAGGAAAGAACATAATAAGTTATAGAAAATGAGGTGGGATAATGAGATAAAAGGATTCCAAATACAAGAATTAGATGAATAAATTGGAGGGAGGAGATTGTTATAAATAGAGTAAGAACTGGTTATAGTTTATTAAATGGCACTCATTTTCAGATGGGGAAGCATCTTACTGGTTTATGTAATTGGTGTAATACTACAGAAACAAAAGAACATGTTTTTATTAGAGGCAGGAAATATGTGAGTCAAAAAAGATTATTGAAAGTGAAAAGAGTTTGTAATAGGGAACTGAAGTTTGAAAATGTAGTTACTAAGCCAAAAAAATACTGGACTCATCGAGAGAATTTGAGGAAAGGAAATGATTAGTAATAAAGTCAAAGAGATGACAGTAGTGCAACATTGATGGATGCAAGCTGCTGTTAACTACAGAAGAAGAAGACACTGCTTTTGTGTTTAACATGATGGGAAAGTTGAAATAAACTGCCAAGATATCAGGAAGAGAACTGTGTAGCTGAACAAGTCTGGTTCATCCTTGTGAACAATTTTCAAGTTTTTGAAGGTGCTGCATTCATCTGTTCAAATAAGTATATGCAAGTGTAGACTAGATGGGAATGTCCAACCGTCATACCGCCCAGGAACGTCTTGTCCAAAATGTGGAAATTAATTCCAGGACAAAAGCTAAAGACATTATGAAGCTGATGAGACTGTCATTATCCACAGTGAAACATGTCCAATATGACTGAAAGGCCACTCAGTCTGGAAGAAAAGAAACATAAAAAGCCATTATGCTGTTTGAAAATGTACAGAGTGACCAAGACCTTCATTTTTGGAGACATGTCCGAAACTAAAGTGGAACTGTTTGACCATAATGACCATTTGGAGGAAAAACGGGAACACTTGTAAGGCTACATTCACACTGCAGGGCTAAATGCTCAATTGCTTTTTATTTTTATTATTATTATTTGTGGTTGTTAAATTTGATTTCTTTGTCTGGTCGTTCACATGTGCAACTTGTATGTGATCTCCGGATGAGAACAGCAAACGACCTAAAGGTGTCCCGTATACTCAATAGAGGACGTAATTACGTCACACGTATCGAGCGTGCTCAGTGTTTGAGGAAGTAGAGACAGATGGTAAGGATGGAGCATGTTTTACGATTTTAAAGTTGTTATCCGATCGAAGCCAACAACTTAATCCTCATTACGGCCCGCCATGGTTGTTGGTTTTCTTCCCGCTTGCGCGTATCAGAGCGCGGAATACTGACGTTTGTCTAGTATCAATGACGTTCAGGTCGGATGAATGCGGCCTGGCCCTTCAGACTCAGGTCACATTTGGAAAGGTCGGATAGATATCGTATTTAGAACCACATTTCCAAGTGGGTCGCCTTTATTAAAAAAAATAAATAAATAAAAAAAAGAAGCGGATTTGGGTCACTTCAGTCTGAATGTTGCCAAAGCCTGGGAACACCATCCTAACTGGGAAGTATGGGGTGAAAGCATCATGTTGTGTCGCTGATTTGCTGCATGAGAAACTGGTGCACTTCATAAAATAGATGCCTACTTGGAAAAAAAAAAAAAAAAAAAAACATTATATGGAAATGTTGAAGCAAATCTAAAAATACCAGCTGTGAAAGAAAAGTTTGGTGCAAATTGGTCTTCTAAACGGACAATATCATTCAGAATAACCAAAATTATTAGACAGTGAGAAAAAAAAATGTTTCCAGCTAAAAAATTATGGAAAAAAATTGTATTTTTGAATACAGGAGTATGGCACAACCTTTTAAAATATAGTTTGAATGTTTGAATTTGTCAGGTAAATTAAAATAAAAATGCTCCAAAAAGTGTTGACAATGAGTCAGTACTAACACCAAAACCAAACATTGTTGTCGTCTATCCATTTGTACAGTCTGATCCATTCTCACTACGTGTGACAAAACATTCACTGCATACCTCTGAGATTCATCTTTATTTTTCTTTAACTAAACAGCTCACTCTGCGTTGGAGACATGGCGTCCTGACTGGCTCGTTGGACATGTACTGGGTCTTATCAGCTCTGTCATCGGAACAAAACAACAAATTGCTTTTGAAAAAATCCAAGCAGTCCAGCTTATGACTATTTAAAGCTAAACAAGAAATACAAAACATGAGTGCTTTAAGTGGCCACTTTTCAGTGACTGCTGCTTCCTCACTGTATAAACAAATGACAGTGAGGTCACTTGAACCATGGAGGACAACTGAAGGAATGTTATTTATATTTAAGGATTATATTTACACCAGCCTTAGCTTAGCGCAAATTCATACCACTTGATCTTTTCCTCATTTTGTCATGACCAATGATTAATCATTTTTGGACTCAAAATAAGTGCAAGAGTTAGGCAACTTTTGGATGTATTTTTAAATAATCGAATATTAAAAGATGCTTAATATATATTTTTTTTTACATAATTTGGACCAGGTGAAGATAAAACTTTGCCACTTGAAATGTTCTGGGTAAAACATGTCTTTTTTAGGCTGTATACTCCTGTTACTGATTAATTGATTACTAAATCTGACAAATACTTCAATAATCAATTCATCACAGTCCTATAGGGACAGTCCTGTGGGTCAGTCTAATTCTAGATGCTTTCATGTTTGATTTTTAAAGACCTTGTGTTCAAGCTGAGTTGAGCATGACTAAAACCTCCTTTAATTAAGCAGAAGTTATATTTTTTTGCTAGACAATCAATCAAATCACAAAGTAAGGTGATTAACAGTGACAAGAAGACACACCTAAAGACATGGCAAAACGGCAAAATGCTCTTTAGATTGTTTGCAAAACAGCTCTAAAATGCAATAAAATGAGTTTTAATGCAATGATAATGAAGATATTAAATGCAGTCAACACATACAGAAAAACACTAAAATAGAGATGCGATGAAAGGATGAGCGAAAAGTGACACAAGAGCCATCAATTACCTGGTAAAAGGTTCACATTAGAGGCTGAATTACAGGATTTAATTTCCAGAAACTACTCAGGGAATTTTGCTAAATTTAAATTAAAAGTAAATTTTTTCTGTTCCAACAGATTTCTGCTAAGTTCTTTCCTGATCTCTTCTAATTTAACAGTAGACTTGAGGAAGAGACGGTTAAAAAATCCACAATAAGAGATCATACGCTCCACTTGACACTCAATATTTCATTCATTTGGACAAAGCGGATCAAACTGTAAGGACCACCTGCAGACTATACACTGTAAAACAGACTCTGAGTCCCAAAACCATCACAAAGTGAATTTCTGTGTCAGAGGGCGAAGCAGCCAAATCTTGATTTCACCATAGCTCAAATGTTTTATGTTGTATTTTTAATGTTTAATACTGAATCTCACCTGTTTATTGTTAAGCCAGTATCAGTCAACCAAATTACTCTTTTCTGGTTAGTATTAGGGCTGAAACTATTATTCGGATTAATCGTTATGAACCAATTAATCCGATTAATCGTGATGAAATGATTAATGAAATAATCAACTAATTTAGAAAACGAATAATCACTGGAATATACAGACTCATAAAAATGAGATTTTGCTGAAAGAACAACATATTCAGAGAGGTAATTAAGCCAAAACAGTGAAAATATATCAACCTTTTGCATTTAAG